AAAAAGGCATTGACGCATATAGCAATTTCATAGTATTTTTTCAATAATATAATATTGTATCACAGAGTATTCTTAAATGCACATTATTATAATCATTATACGGATCGCGAATCGAATATATAATCGCGTGTTATTGTTCCTACATATACGGCCCGACATTTTGCCGGCAATTTGGATACAAAATAGTACGCATATGTAAATACGGCGGAAAAAAGGCAGAATCAGTCGGAGCAGAATTCAATATGTAAATTATCAAAGGCAAATTAAAGCTCATTACTGTATCAGTCGCAGAAATACAGTTATTGTAACTAAAGTGCCTTGTCTTAAAGTTAAAGGACGTTATGAAGCAATGTATCTTTCATTAAAAAACACCAACTCTCATAATGCACGAAATGCCATTTCAGACCCCCGGACTTTTTATACAAAGGTGCCATCCACATCCCCAATCTCACTCTTAACTTCTCTGCAAAGTTGAGAGGTCTGCTATTTTGGTCTCAATGTCTCCGTCCTTCCCTCGTTATAAGGAAGGCACAGGCGGGCGCGGGCAAATCGAGCCTGGGCCTCTTGTGGTATTATTCCACCTTTATGGGTTACGGAAATTTTTGCTGTCAAATCTCTGTGGTCATATATGGAGATTGAAAATTTTTGACATGGAAGCACTGACCACGCTCGGCGGGCAACTCTGTAAATATGGCGTACTATGGGCAACAAGCTGCACCCGGAGTTGATCCGAATTTCTTGTGGGGAGTGTTTCAAAAGTGAGTACTTTGATAAAACTATGCTTTAGCGATTGCTGTGAACTTTCTAGTTCTAAAGATGTGACTTTATTGTCTTGTATTATAGCGTTGATCGGGATCGAAGCGGTTCTATTTCTGCGAACGAATTGCAACAAGCTTTGTCAAATGGTATGACAGTGCGATATATTTATATTTGTATTATTGAAGTTTTTTGATATTGGACTCTCGTTTGTTTGCGTGAAACCCTTTGCGAAAGTTAAATACACTAGCATTTATTTTATGTAATTATTGACAGGAAGAAATACTGAACAGTATTAAAAATACTGTTTACAGTAGTATTTCTCTCTTCGCTCTTTTATAAACTTTTATATAAAATCAAATTAGAACTGTCAAATGTATCAATTTGAGTGCGGGAATCCAGATATTTGCACGGCTAATTTATATTAGTTAGCATTAAAATTCCATATAGAAGATAGTTGAATTAAAATTGCTGTAGAAGAACAAATGCCATGGCTTATAAGTTTGTGGAATCACCACAATGTGTTTTGTGGCCCCTCTACCACCATCAGTCTTGGATCCACAAAACACACTGTTTCCCTCGGTCTCAGTAAATAAGTGTTTTGTTATATCATAAAGCTGCTCCCGATTAAACGACTAATCGATTATTTTCCCACAGTCGATTATGCTTAACAGTAATCAGATCATCTACAGTATAGCACCACACACCATACTGGAAAGTTCGTATGTTACGCCGAATATATTCGGCGTATAATTTAGTCGACTGCGCCAAAATTGGCGTAATTTTGCCTCTTTATTTGGCCATATCAAACTGGCGTGGCGTAAACAGATCATCTCAGAAGTAGTTGGCGTAAAAGTCTAAAATATGTACTTTAATCCAACTTCACAACCCGTAAATGTATAAGGATTAGGGAAACTAAGAATTGAATGAAAGTTTCATTTAATCCTTTATTTATTATTAAAGGGGAAGTCAAGTCGGTTTGTTTACATTTTGAACTGCTGTATTTTTTAAAATATGATGTACTGTTTGAATATCTAACACCATTTTGGTTTGTTATGCTCCTACATGAATATGAAATAGAGTTTATGTTCAGAAAAATTTGAAACATTCAAAATTTGGGCAATGTTTACCTCAGAGGGCCCTCACATTGTTATGCGCAGGACCGATGCGCAGAACGGACTTGACTTCCCCTTTAACACACGGTGATTTAATAACACGATTCGAATTTTGCCCTCGATCGTTATGTCATTACCCCAGGGCTTCCATTTTGAAGGAAATTTCCTTTTTGAAGAAAACTTTAACTAGTTGATTCTAGTTGAAGGAAATTATAAGGAAATTCGAATCTGAAGGAAATTTGAAGGTAATTTCGGAAGATTGAAGGAAATGTTAAGGAAATTGCCTTATTTCTAAAAAACCCTAAGAATACGGCAATTGTCAAGGAAATGTGCTTCAAAATATGCTGAAAATCCTGTCCTACAAGATGCAAAATCTGAAAATTTTCTGGGGGAGGACCCCCAGGTCCCCCTGGTTATTCTCCTTCGTGTTAATCTATGCAAACTCTTTGTCTCTCCCCTTTGATAAATTAGCCCCTGTAACGTCTATGTTCCTTCTAGAACAAGAAATACCCTGTTATTCGAGATAAATTACTATAAAATCAGTTTTAAATTAGGTAAAATTGAATAATTTTTATTGCAAGGAAATTTTTTCAAAAATAAGGAAATTTTGAACGGTTGGAAGGAAATTATGTTTATTGAAAATGGAAGCACTGCATTACTCATTACTTCATGTAATTTGATCCAACTGTAGAACATGGTTTATATTTCATGTACTTTTGACATTGTCAATGTATTGTAGTCTACACGAGAATAGGGTCTGGGACTGGACTACAGATAATTATGTTGTATTTTCATATTTTGTTTGGGGGGGGGGGGGTACAATGTTAATTGTTAAACTCGTAGACTTAATAGACTTCGTCAGTTTAGCCGTTTAGGTCTTTGGCGTAAGAATATCACACGCTTTGGCGTATAAAATTAAGGTAGAAAACAGTCGGCGGAAATATTCGGCGTGTGAATTACGAACTTTCCAGTATGGACCACACAGCGTGATGTGGGAATGAGTTCATTTCTTTCCAGATTAATTAAAAAAATTGCGACAAGATTGTGATTAAAATATTAAGTGACAAACGATGGCAGGCCTTAAAATATTTTTTACAGGGCAGTTTGACAAAATGTCCGGTGACGTTGAGTTTGGGTCGGACATACAGTATGTCCGATGATCTTCAGTTCAGTTTTGGCTCGGAAATAAGTCTGAATGACACAAATGAATAAACTGTAAATGTTGTAAAGATATTAAATAATTTGTTTCTTTCATACTTATTTCCAAGCCAAAATTAACTTGCTTGCCAGAACAGCAGTGTTAAAAAATGACTTTGACAACTATGGACAACTTAAGCCCGTTTTCCACTTCACCATTTCGCTCGCCGCCCCGCACTCGACTATGTTAAAACAACATTTCCAGTTCACCTTTTATACAATAGTACTCTAATTTTCCATTTAACATACAAGCCTCTAGTCGTGGCTAGGGTACATTTTGATTTATGTCGGACAAAGCTACAGTTCGGTCGGACACCAATTCACTTGGGTCAGACAAATAATAAACCTCAGTTTCACGTTGGTCGGACAGAATGTCCGGTGGTTTCCTCTCTACGTTGGACAATTTAACGAATGGGTCGGACAACGTATGTGACCGATCGATATTTTAAGGCCTGAACAATGGTCAAATACTGTATCAAATTCATTTGCAGCATGCAAAGTTTACCATAGTCTGATTGGGTTTACCAGTGCTGTCAAAATGTCTTTACTGTCGTTCCAATTGAAGTGTTGCTAAAATATTGATTCAATACATTACCTCGTGCTGACCAATTCATTTGATTAAGTTCCTCGAGATATTCATACACTTCCTGTGAAAGAGCCAATTCCAAGTATGTGATCATTTCTGGTCACTTCCTTTCTATTTATGATTGGTTAGTTGCACAAACAACAAAGGTGATTGGTGCATTCAAACTATTCAACAGGAAGTTTACAATTATACTAGGAAGTGTATGAATATATCGAGGAACTTGATGAAATGAATTGGTCAGCCCGAGGTAATGTTTTGAATCAATATTTGAGCAACACTTCAATTGGAACGACAGTAAAGTTTTTTTATTAGAAGAATTTATTACCATTGTGTCCAACATTGCTGCATGCGGACATAAACCAATTACTGTATCCATAAGAGTCTGAGTCTCGCAAATTTACTCAGGAATGTCAAAGGTAAACAACTAAAGTAAACATCCTTAATATTGTCTCTGCACATGCCATGTCTCTTGTGTGAAGTGTTAAGAGCACTTTCATTTTAAACACAGATTTAAAACATTTACATTGACTGGTGGAACCCCCAAAAATTTAGTAAAAAATTTCATTACAATTTAATATTTACAAGCGTGTCATGCTACCATGGGCATGTCATATTTAAATTAATTATCAATTGGTAATCGATTGGTGACAACGATTAATCGATTACGAAAATAAACCGATGGGAGCAGCTCTATTATATCGTGTATAAGTGTCGAAGTATGATAATTCATGGGTTATTGGAGTGAATTTTGAAACCAAAACTGGATAAATGGAACATCGTAAATGTTTAATTGATAAAAAGGTTTATTAAATTGAACTTTGGAACTTCATGGTTGATGTGCATACACGCTACACCCATTTGATTGTGGACCGGTCTGTAAATCAACCGATCAATGATCAGCAAGAAATTGCTTATGATCAGCGGAAAAGCAGGATTTCCAAACGCGTAAAAGCAGTCAGTATATTACAAGATTGAAATCATATTTTCACTGAAAGGGAGATTATAAGATAGATAGATTATGGAGCTCTAAAATGAACATAAAATGTTAAAAATTAATTGCAATTTAAACAAATATTTCATATATTCTGTTACATTGACCTTCATTCGGTTGGTTGTGACCTTGTTTACATTTGAATAAATTGACTGTTGAGTAATGAATTTCTGACGTTTAATTCAAATCTGTGCACCTGATTGGATAATAAAATTAGAAATCCATATACAAAAATAAACTGATAACAAAAACATGAACTCGTGTGACCAAAATGATGAAACTGAGTTTCAGATCACTCATTGAACAAAAATTGAATTTGGAATTATCAAACGTCTTTTCCCACTTGAAATTCCTAGCGGCGATGTTGACAGTTTAATAGTGATTTTCATAATATTTATATAAAAGATTTCAAAAGTTTGCTCATTAGAAAAATTGGGTACCAGATAAGTGTTGCGAGATTGTCATGTACCGTAGACAAAAATATATAATTTATTTGTCTGTTTTTAGTACGCTAAACATATTGTCAGGTGACTTGCACTTTAAAAGTTTCAATTTAGCTCAGCTGGTGCTAGGCCACCTAAATGTCACTTCAGAAACATAATATTCCTAAACCTTCGGTCTGATTGTTGCAGGCTAACTGAAATTTCCAATTTTGTTAAATTGCCGAATTTTTTAACTGGCTAGCACCCTTCTCATGGCCATATGCCAACAAATTTGTGTCATAAAATATGTGCTCTACTATCAGTTAACCAGCTTATTATACCACTCTGTCTAACACCAGATTATTGTAAACTAGTGATGATCTGTAAAGTTTGAGAGGGAAATAATGACCTAATAATTGCCCCTGACTAATCAGCCCCCCCCCCCCAAATATAGAATTGCTTCCTTAACGATAGTGCTCGTCAAGGGAAGAGTGCTGGCGCTTAATGTTGTAATTGACAAAATGAATTCTTGCATTATTAGGCTCCTGGACTCCATTTAATCCTGAAACTGTTAGACTTATGATTGGTGAGTAATGAAATAAATAATATAGTCTGAGTAATGTTCTTCAAATACAGTAATCATAACCATGGACAATTGGAATTTTAATTAAAAGAAAATTCTAATTTCAAACCCTGTTTTGCTCTGCAGAGCAAAAAATGATAATAAAATGACACATTGGCGTGTGTTGGAGTTGATAATTTAGTGGTTATTTACTCTGATGTTTATAAATGTTTATATTAACCCATTGAGTTGAATTGTGCCCTAATACACCTTTATTATTGTACTTTATTATTTTACTCTGTCTAATGCCAGACAATTTTAATTGTCAGGGGGAGATCACTGGCTCTAAATGGATTAATGAAAAAATTGGACCAAACATTAAATAAACAATTTTTATTTCTACAGGATTGTTTGACCGTGATAATAATGGCACTATAAATTTCCAGGAATTTGGAAGCTTATGGAAGTATATAACGGACTGGCAAAAAACTTTCCGAACTTATGATCGTGATAACTCGGGAAGCATTGATAAGAATGAATTACAAAGTGGTAAATACACTTACATTTTATTTAAAGGTGATCTACAGTCCGATCTGCGCATGTGCACAAAGGAGCCCACTTTTTATGATACAAACAGTTTAACTATGTTTTGGGTTCATGCAAAGCCTGATTGTTGTTTCTTGGCAAAGGCAATGTAAACAAAGGCTTTGTTTACATACGGACTGTAGATCACCTTTAAAGCATCATTGGGGGTGAATCATAAATGTTCGAATCTCTTGGGCAATTGTATTAAATAAAGGGATTCTCAGATAAGGGGAATTTACAGTATTTATTCTGGCATAGAGCAGTAATGTAAGCATGCAAATTAACAGCCTACAAAAAAAATTAGTTAGCATCCTTTAACAATTCCATGGAACTATTTGTAGGCCAACTTTTCAGTCAATATTTTAAACGCTTGGAATATCTTGCTGATCGAATGGCTTTTCAGATAAATGTCTTGACAGAGAAAGACCAAACAGTCAAAACAAAAGAAAGTTTTTAGGTTGAAACTAGCATACTGAGTTGGCTATAATATTTGAAAGTAATTGTAGGCCAGAAAAAATTGTTAATTCTGAATAATATAAAGTATTATCCATGGCAAAGTTTTATGTATGAAATTGAAGAAGTAGTTGGTATGCCTAGCGTTTCCAGAAAAATCTGCACTCACCTGTTGTAACCCATGAGCTGAATGATGTTGTGCACATACAGTATACATGTAACATGTAAAACAATTCGGGCAGATATTCTTCTGGTAATGATTGTGGGTAGTGGATTCAATAATTGTTTTTCACTGAATATTTTCATTTTTTTTACAGCGCTGACAAGTTTTGGTAAGTATTGAATTTTTATTTTGTGAAGATTAGTGTTGGACAATCATTGTCCAAATTATTTAACATCGTATATAAAGTATTTCAAGGATAATACTCATACTGTAAGTATCATAGTGAGAAATTCAACTTGTAAATCTTTGAATTTGAAAACAAAAATTCAATTCCAATGATTGTTCTTGAATTTGTAAAGAAGTACTTGAAAGTCCTTAAATTTTTCTTGCTTTAAATTAGTTTATATGGATGTATTGCACCCTTTTTGAATTTTACTGACTACTAAATGACTTCTGCATGTCAAAATGATCAAGATGACGAGAATGCAGGAAATGCCATTTCAGAAACTCGACAGTACTCAGTAGATTTCAAATCCAGAGACCCGTATCAAGTTCTCTAGCCTCCCCTCCCCCTCCCCCCCTTCCAAACAAACCGGTGTTCTGCTGAATCTGATAGATGCAAAAACGGAGAGGTCCCATGACCGTGTGGCATGTGGTAACATCTGACAACATCTGGCAAGCCTCGTGATAATTTTTCTTAAGCATGCAGGTGATTTTGGAAACAGAGGCTAAGGCTAAATCCAAGTGTTCTTGTTTAACCAATGCTTAACTCCATATAACAAGCCATTGCCACATTCATGTAAAGTTAGGTGCATTTTAGGAGAGCTTTGTCTCGTTCATTCTGTAGGTTTTAGGTTATCTGAGAGATTTTATGGAGTTCTCTTGCGAAAGTTTGATCGCAGTGGTCAAGGAGTGATCAAGTTTGATGATTTCATCCAGTGTTGTGTTGTCATTCAGGTCAGTTGGCATTGAAATTTTAAATTTTTAACACCGTCCAATAGCAACGGGATTCTAAGAACTTGAAATCTGTTATCCACTCAGGAAAGCTAGTGTCTTACATTTTGATGGTGTGTGTCGTAGCGAGCGGTGGACATAGTATCCATTGGGATACTAAATAAATTTCTCTTCACAGAGATATCTCTGTTGTTTATAATTAAGTTTTCTGACAAGTCTTCTTGAATCTTGGTCATAATAAAAACATTGCCAGAGATTCATTATTTTATCAAATTCATTTTATAGTATTAAATTTATTTACATTATCAATTGAAAAATGAAAAATAGCACCCCCTCACCCCCGCTGCACCCCTCTGGTCAGGCCACAACCCCTTCCCCTCCCCCAGGCTGTTGTCATTCGATCTTTCATCTCATGAAAATATTTTTACCATGACCGTCATTATTTCGCTCCAGCGTATTGTAATGTAAATATAATGACGATCAAAACTTTCTATAATGTTCTAGACTCTTACTCAAGCATTCCAGAACTATGACACCAACAGAAATGGATGGATACAAATAAACTACGAACAATTTCTTAGCTTAGTTTTTACACTTAAAGTATAAACATTTTTGCCACTGTAATACGTGTAAGCTGTACGATCGTAACTTAAATGATTGTATAGGAAATAAGATAACCACAGTAATTGAGTAAATCGTTAATTAGACATGCAGAATAACAGAATAGTTGCAGTATAGTTGCAGGATGTAAGTGATAGCAATAGCCGCGCTAAGCAGCATGTTTTCGTGTCCTGGGCAAATTATTTAATTGACAAATTCCGTTGCGGAAACATTGTTTCCTAGCCATGTTCTCTGAAGGTTGTACTCTATAGGTGCTATCCTAGACTCTAAAAACATCCTTGTTAACTTGGGGCCTGTCCATATGGGGAAAGTTATCCCGGTTAGCGAGAAAACATTTTGACAAGTTTACAAGCGAGATCTCGTCTTGTTATGAAATAATATCTAATATGAAAAGTTACACTGCGTTCATATGAGACGAAAAGTGTACCGAGATCTCGCTTGTTGACAGGCGAGATCTCGTTGACCAGGATAATGTTTTTTTCCCATATGAACACAACATGCCACAACTTTCCCGCTTAGCGGGAAAACTTTCCGTCCTGTGAGCAACTTTTCTGTTTTTAAAATGTATTTTATTGTGATTTTTTTTAACTTTTCCCGCCTTCCGCGTCACACCAGTGCTACGTCACAGCCGGAAACTTTACCCGGTAAGCGGGACAACATTTCTCCATATGAACAGAGCAAAATTATTTGGCTAGTCAAAATGTTTTATCGCTAATCGGGATAACTTTTCCCCATATGAACCCTAAATGGCCCTAAATGTTCTTAGGTTAAATTGATTATAGTCCTGGGGGCGGTTGTACCAAGGTCGTTAACTTAGTCGTTGATTGGTATACTGTAACTCAGATTAAAGTTCAGTATTTATAAGTTAAGGTTTCTTATGTACTACATACTAGTAGTATGTGGTTTATACCTATAGTTTTACAGCCATTTAGGTATTTTTACAAAGGTTGAAGAAATCACCATCCGGGGTCGGGGGAGATACCATGCTATCCGGCCTTCGTACAACCAACACCTGCCTAATTTAACCAGGATTCAAGAATTCCTGCCAATACATATCCTAGGGCGCTTTCCTTTAACACGGCCAAACCGGTCAGAACGGTCAAATTGTTGAATGATAGACAAAACATTTGGACTTCGGATCCCTATCTGACAGGAAAATTTTGATAACATTAGAATGAGGTCCATTTTCGCTAGATATTTGAGAAACATAGACCAGATCTTTCCATTGATACAGAGAAA